AGGGGGGGTTATTCATCGACCGTCTACATCGAGTGGAATATCCCGGGAGAGATGTTGGAGTCTAACATGGATTTCTTGAAACTTGATACGCCTTCTCTGAGCGGTGCCTTCCCCTGACCGTTTCAAAAACCAACACCACCGTGCAACCCCTGTGCATTGACCTTCCCATTGACCCTTCCCCCCCCGGCTTCGAACGAACTCGGCCTATCCCATTGATCTCGATGACCTCCACACCTCACATGCGAGGAAGATAGCAAGCACGTGAGGAAGTACCGCATCCGTGAGGAAGTACCGCATCCGTGAGGACGTACCGGAGCATACCAGGACTGGTATAGTACCAGGTCGGGTATAGTACCGGAGCATAGTATGGTAGGTACCAGGACTGGTATTATGTATGGGTATCTGTACTGGTAGAGTACAGGAAGTAGCGGGACAAAGAAACCATATTGATCCTACACACTCCATGTATGCCATATTTGCCTACATTGGGCTGGTTTGAGGGTTCAAGGTATATATGCCATACTTGGACAGTCTGGGAATGATCTTGCTAAGAGTTTAGAGCTGTGCTTCTGATTCGTCCCAATTGTTTTCTCTTCTTCCAGCTGCCGGTGGCCGGTTGAAACCGTGTGGCGGCCGGTTGAAACCAACCGGACCCATCTCTTCAGTGGCTTGGAGCCACGTCCGAAAGAAGACTGCGGAAAACACACAGTGGTAGGGACACACACAGTTGAATGAAAACAGGTGGTAGGCGCAGCCAACAAATACCCAAGGTTTCTGCGCCGCGTTCAGGGCTCAGAGTAGTTAGAGTGGTGCAGAATGTCTGAACCCACATGGAATGCTGCAGGATGCACTCACCGCGATCGGGTTCCGATGGAAACTGTGTGGACGCGCCTACAGTGAGAGATCCAGCAGAACTCGATTCCAGCCAGTTGTTGCCTCAGATCCACTGATTTCGGGCGGATGACGTGGGTTGCGTTGGGCGCACAAAACGTATTGTATTGACCATAGTCTTGTACAGGGGTGCCAACCCCCCTGCAAGAACCATAAGCAAATACAAAAGACCTGCTCTATCTGTTTCCATCTGATTTTGTCCCATCCAGGAGTCATTGTCCTGTTTCCTGAAGGGACCCCTCTCTTGTCCAAACGCCCTCTTTTCACGTGTCAAAACGCATGCCGCAGGCAACACCGTGGCACCGTGGCACCGCGCTACATCGGATGCTCCACGACGAGGTCAGCGTCCGACGCCGACGAACGAGGTCAGCGTCGAGGTACTGAACTCAAAGCCGGCAATCACGTGGTCTGCAAAGTTGTGCTCCACTGGCCCCTGCGCGTTTGCGCGAGGCATCGCAGCGGAGTTTCACTGTGCCGAGTTGTATGCAAAAAGAACACGCAAACGCTTGTGTACCTGCTGTGATGTTGCTAATATGTTGCTACAATGTATATATATAGTACTAATATGTACTAATCTATAGAGTTATACTGCTCAGTGTTCCAGGTGGGAGAAAGATCATCTGAGGCGGGGAGTCGGTACTGTTGAAGCGCCTGTAGATGCAGGTATAGGTCTTCGTTCAATACCCTGGGACCCAGATACTCCATGTATGGAATATAATATATGCATATATATATATATATATGATATATGCGTACTTATATGCGTACATTGAACCCTGGATAGGCTACACTCATCCTTTGCTACTTGAGATGTGGAGAACATTGGAGAAACCTCCGGCACTCGAGTTGCAAAGGGAGTGGTCCTGTTCTTGTCATGGTGATAATCATAATCACCGGGTTGACAAAAACAGTGCAAAGTGAATCCAGAATCCAAAAGCAAATAGGAGAGTTCTCGGCTGTTCATGTGCTGCGAGCTTTACGCCAACCCCATCTACCCATGTCCAGTTGAAGTGCCAATGGAATGTTCCAACGAGGTGCAGGATATGTCAGTCACAACAAGAAGCAAACGAGTCGACTTGGTGTTGCCACACTATTCTACCATCTTCCAAAGGTGGACACCACACTGCTGAGCCGGTTTCCCTTCAAACGCCAGTCCGGCCACACACGCAACACACCCCGAGATGCGGCCACGGAGAACCCCCACGCGATCCACCCAAAACGACCCAACGTTTTTGGCCGCCTGAACCACGTCACCGATGAAGAGGTTGAATTTGATGTCCAACCCTCGGTGGGAACGAACAACAATTATAGGGTAAACAAAATAAACCACCTCTGTGCGATGTCGGAACGCCGGCAGCTCCGTGTTTTTCGGGTGGGAAGATGAGGCATGGCGCGGAGGGCGGCACGGCGGCTGTATACGGTCAAGGGGGAGTGACCAATGGTGATGCGCCAGGTCCGGCGGCCGTTGCTGGGCACAGGTGGATGTAGCTTAGGTGGGGGATGGATGCAGGTCAAACCGGTCAAGCTTGTAAAATGCATTGTTTTCGAAGCGTATCAAATAGTACTTTGGGCTTTGTTGAATGCCTTCGCGAGAGAAAAAGGCAATACTTCCAAGCACTGCATCGGCTAAGAAAGCACCTTAACTTGAAATGATCCAAGTAATCGCTAGCCAAACAAGCTAGGTGCAAATTCACACATTGACTCAACAAGAACAACAACACCATGATCTGCCGCAGGGTGTTCTGTTCGCAGGGGTGCAAAGCATACATCCCACTCTTGGCCTCATGCTGGGCCTTGGGGGCCAAGGATGTGTGGTGTTTCCACCACCACCGCCCGCTACTCAACAGCCACCCTCCAAGTCGAGGCTCTCCCTCCAATCTCGGTGACCACCTGTGGGACAAAAAGGAACTTTCGGATCAGTGAAGCTTCGGATGGGGGTTCCAAGTGGTCGACCACGGGCTCCAAGCGGGTTCGGTTCATGTGAACTGCGGTCTTATGACTGTACCAGGACCTTCAGAGCGGCCCTTCTTTGTTTGGAGTCCCATCCGACCTTTTACAGGCCCTAGTGACCTCATGCTGGGATCTCCAAAGGCCGATTTGAAGGTCTTACAGTAGTATGATCAGTGTGAACCGGCATCTAAAGTGGTCCAAGTGGGAATCTGTGCCACCTCTCTGAATCTAGATCCCATGTTATCCACATATTGCCAATCCGCAAACAGCCCCCAAAAGAAGTCGGACAGCCGGGTTGTCTTCTGGCCTAATGCCCATATGATGTAAATTTGCCTCATCATTTCAGCATGACTGTCCCTCTTCCACATCTCGTGGCGTTGGATGGTCACGAATTTTCACTACGGAACGTCACCAATCTCCTGGTAGACCTCGTTGCCGTGGGTCGTTCTACGTTGTCTTCCTTACTTACAAGTGGTCGTTCCACCAAGATGCTCACGTCGCCTCTTGGCCGACACACCGATGCATGTCCGATGCAGGTCCTACGTTTTGCCACCGGAGACAAGTCTTGATTGGCTGAAGAGCCGATGCATCTCTCGAAGTGACTGAACCGAGCCACAACATATATGTGGGCATATCCATGGCAACGAAACTTCCAACGTCACTTCTTTGCCATGATCCCAAAAAACAAATGCTTCACACTGATGATCCAAGGCAATTCAAGGCAGTTAAGTTTTGATCTTAAGGTATGATTGAAAGATTGACATTGAACATCATAACATACTAATAACATACTAGCATCCTTCTGAGGTCTCCGGTTACCGTAGGGTAGCCACGATTTCTCAGCCAGATTCGGTCCTCCGAGTTCTGCTGATCAGTTCGGTCCGTTCCGGGGCCCCACCTTGAACTTCAACGCTCCGTTCAGGGGCGAACCATCGGCGAAGCGGACCTGCCGTTCGGTTCAGGGGTGACCTGCCGTCCCCGGTTCGGAGCGACCGGTCCGTGAACAGCGTGAACGGGAGGATCCCGCGCCAGGTGAGTTGAGGTGACAAAAGGAAGCCTGAAAGGGGTCAGGACGATCTTACTATATGAATATAAACATATTATATAATTCTAAATATATATATATATGCACATGCATATTCTTAGTATGTGTATGTATATATACACGAGTTATAACTTAACCATACATGGGTCTATGGTCAGCCGGACGAAAATGGCAGGAACAAAAACAAACACCAAAGCTGTTCTTGTGCAAATCAACAGGCGGTTAAACAACTCCAGAGTTTTTTTGGAAGACCCAGGATCTTGAAGACCCCAAACCGCATCCGCACTCTTCACAAGTTGACACTGTCCTGACACTGACCGGTTGAGCCTCATATCTGGACTTCTGCTCGCGCATGGTCAAGCCTTCCAAGTCCCCCAGGTTGGGAAAGACCTGAGAACGTGACCAAGGTTTGGAACATCCCAGTCTGGGTGTCCTGGCTGGACTACCCAGCCCACTGCTATTTAGATTATATCTCCAAACACGACATCCAGACTGGATGATTCTGGTATGTTTGGTTGTGTAGCTTTTGATCCTTGGTCGGTTGGAGCCTCCAAATACGGGCTTGGCTATGGCTATGGGATGATGGGGTCGGTTTGTTGATCCAATGGGCCAGCCTGGAGAGGCCCCTGTCGGTACATGTATATACATTGATATTCCAAGGTACACCGACACGCATAGTATACAAAGCCGGGTCTGTCAATAGTGGTATATACATGTATTTGCGTAGTACGAGTATATTATATATATATGAGGGACGGTCAAAACTCCTTATTCTTCTTCAACTAAAAGGTGGACGTCATCGGTTTGAGTTGGACCTTATCGTTTTACAGCGTTTTGAGTTCGTCGCATACTTTTGATCATATACAGCGCTGGGGTTATCGGTTTTGAGGTGGACCTTATCGTTTTGCAGGGTTTTGTGCACAAACCTACCCCTCTTTACTAAAGTGGTCTTCGCATGTTTTGACCGTGGCTCATATATTTGTTGTCAAACCTGCTGCAGCTGCTGCTGTCACATGAACACAACCAGTGATTCATAGCAAGTTTGGTGACACTTGTTTCGACGGGCGTTGTTCTGTAGTCGAGTGCCCATTGCTGGTGCCGATCCCCGGAATTCATTCATTGCTCGTGGCTCGTGGGATGTTGAGCACTACCACACGCCACACAGCTTTGTGCGCCTCAACCCGAAACGGTTAACTTCTGGATAATCATCATGCTGTGCTCTGCCCTTCATGTTTACACTACAATGTCCATCTTGGTTTGACAGGCTTGGGCCAGGGCTGGTCGAGCCAAACATCAACTACTTGGTAGGCCATTCAGCTTTAAGGCTTAAGGTATCGATACCGAACGTAGCAACCCACTAGTGGAATCCTTCTTCAAACTCCCAGGCTTCCAGGACACTCAAGCTGCTCCAAACTGAGGTCGGCACGAGCAATCGCAATTCCGGAAGACCACCAGCCTCAATGTCCAAGAATGCGAAACAATCCCAGTACTGCCATTCCCCTTGAGATGCATGGTCTCTCTATTTTAGCTCTAGCACTGGACTCCTTGCATACTTGTTGCAGGCTGACCAGTTTTAATCTACAGAATACACAGCACAGCGATGTGCAGGGCAAAGAAAGGAGCTCTGGCCGGAATTGGGTGAGAACCGGGGACACAATGATTTGACTTGCCTTTATATATGCCTTTATGGCATTGATCGCATATGCGGTGGCGATCGTCTCTACCTCTGAGGTCAGAACTATACGAACAACTTGTTCTAACATTCTCTCTCACCTCCTCTCTTGAAGCCCCGCCTCGAACTGTGGAGATACGAGCGGCCTCACGATACGGCGAACTGCTGCAGGCACTGCTGCAAAACTGTACTGAATTGCCGCCCATGACCTTCAGTTCGTGACCTCTTTTGGAGCCTCCAGGTGACCTGTTCGGGGACTAAGTGAGCTCATCCAGGGATCTCAGAAGGTCCTGGTCCATCCCTGCTTTTGATTGCTTGTTATGGTCATCTCGACCAACATCTTGCTACCGTGAGCGCGGGAACTGCCAGTGCAAAGATCCAAACCACCAGCACAAACAAACATTGACAATTGCGGGTCTGCTTGTAACCATTTTCTGTTGACAAGCGCCCTCCAGCACGAATTGCCCGAAGGTCCTTGCATGGTCGAACACATGGCCTTGCCCGGGGCACGTCGTTCCGCGCGCGGAAGGGACCTGACCAAGCAATCCTTGAACTTGGTCTTGATGCCTGAGCGCGCGGGTTGCGCCGCGGAGAGCACGAAGAATTCTCTTCCCACGGGGTGGCACGATCCATACTGAAGGACTGCAGGACTAAAGCCTTGACAATGTGTGACAACTGCGATGTCTCCAACTGGACAGGACAGTGGAGACTTGCTTGTCACATCACGTTTTGCTGGGGAAGTGTCTTGCTGAGGTTGCTTGGGGGCCTTCGCGTCGCTTGGCACGACACCGAGCCAGTGGCAGCACACCCTATAGAGTAACAATGAAGATACACGTGTCTACATCTACATGTACACCTATGTATCTAGGCATGTAGATATGGTCGTATGTATGCGTGCATGCGTGCTAATCCAGTGCAGTAATTAAAATGCAATGGAGTGTAAGCATGTGTGAAAGTTACGGTGTGCCAATAACGTGGGATTGAACATCATGTAGAGGTGTGTAGAATCTGCATGTCTTGCAAGTCCAGCAAAGCCAACATAGCTATCACCGCGTTCACTTCATTGCGGAGGGTCGCCGTGAAACTGGACGCATCGAGGTGACTTTCTCATCTTATTTCTTCGGAGCAGCATGCTCCAACAATTAGAATAGAAAGTATATATTATGTATTTCAGAGGTAGCAATACCAAAACCTATCAAAGCATCCATGTGGCAAGGGTAATAGCATCAATGGCGCTATCAGTGACACTTTGTGGAGGTGCGCTGTTGGTGAAAACTACTCCAGTTCCCGTTAAAATTGATCGTCAAGGTCATTCTTGTAATTTTTACGTGGGCCTCGCTCGGCCCAACACTTTGGATTGGACATCCTATATATTTTCGAGATTCGGCTAGCGATGAGTGGTAGTGGTGGTCTGTTCAGAGTGTGTTCACCTCCTCAAAGAGATAATGCACTTGCTAGGACTAAAGGTTTCTTGTGCACCAAGTCTTATCTGCATGGTATATCAATCACAAAGCAGGAACCAACTCCGGTAGATCAGAAGCAAATGCTTTTCTAAGATTCCAGCTTGAGAATGGGCCCTCAATTAATCAATCTGATGACTTCTACACCAAAGTCTGAACGAAAGTGTAAAGGGAATGTATGCATGTTTAAGTCAGGGGGACGGAACACTCTACTCGAGATCCTTTTGACATCATTTGACCCATCCCCGACAAACATGCACAAGTGAAAGTTCCTGTTCAACCATAGGGCCTCGCAACCAGAGGGGATGATTCCGCGGCGACACTGGGCTCTGCTGTTCCGCGGCTCTCCGTGTCGCCGGGCTATCGATCCGCCATTCCACTCGACAAGCGGAGACACCATCCACATCCTGGCAGGATCCATCCCAAACACTCCATCTATATAATATATGACCCTGTGAGATAATACTAAATGTAATATTAATATATTGTAATATATTATACATATATATACATAGAATATATGCCTACATTGACCCCCCCAAACCACTCCAACTGATCGCCAGTCCTATGGCAGTCCCACTCCACATACATGGAGTGTTTGGGCATGGCTTTGTCACCCACCGGAGGTTTCGGATCGGAGGATCGGCCAGGAGGGCCGTTGGAGATCCTCGACAGGAAACACTTCCATGCTATATACAAGCAGTGTTCACTGAACGGTTTTCTTGGCTTTCGATGCGGTACCCGGAAACACAAACCTGATGGGTTCTCTTGTTTGTTGCATTCTTGAAGCACTGCTCACATCTGGGCAAATGACGGCAAATGCCAGTGGGTCAACATGATGACTGGTGGACTATGGCTTATCACTTGGTATAGCTACAGCATTGTACGTATCTATGATCTTCTCAATTCATATATATTTATATATACACATTATGTTTACTATATTTAATGTTATACAATACGACTAATCCATGTAACTAAGGTGCATGTCAAAGTGTAGCCTCTCAACTCTCAACCGAAGTCCTTACTGACATGGGACAGTGGATGGGATGGACCAAAAACACGGCAGATATCAGCAGATCACCATGGAAAGGTACTATGTTCCAATGGATATTTCACGAGCCGAGCCCCGCGAAATGGATGGCGGAAATGATGGATGTTGTGACTTGTTTTGCTTGCTTCGCAGAGTGTGTTCATCTGCGAACTGGGTGATAGAGGGTGATTCATGGAATTCTGTGGTGGTGGTGGTGGTGGCGGCGGTGGTGGTGGTGGAGCAGTTTTAAAAAGGGTACAAACAGGGGAAAGTGACCACAATACAAGTGGAACAAAGGGGGCATGGACAGCAAAATGTCTACTCAAGTGCATATAGGAAAATGTTGAATAGATTTGTGGTATCAATCAAGTTTGTTACGTTTCTCCACCTTTTCCATGCAGTATCATGTCTAGACTAGTGACTAGCTCCAAAGCAGGATGCCAGGCGCTCCAATTTCTAGACAGGCTCCGTGCACACGCGCAACAAATCAACTGCGCCAGGGCTTGGAATGCTGGGCTTCACAGGAACCCGCTCTCATCTCGTTACCATCGTCCCAGGCCCCGAGGCGGCTCCGTGCCTTGGGCTTCACAGAGAGACTCTCCTGGTGCGGCCCCGGTCAACACGGTGGGACGACTGCGGTCACTGGGACGGCACTCCGGACCGACATCAAAGTGCGTCGGGGACAAGGGCTCTTGTCTACCATGCAGTTTCTACATGTGTGGCCTACTGGAGGATGAAGAATCAAAGGGGGCCTGTTTGTAGGACGAGATCCGTCTTCTGGACTACTAAAGACATATTGCAGGTGCTCTTATGAAATTACACTGGCCAGAAGAAAGTTGCGCTTGTTGATGTTGAAACTCATGACAACCCTATCCCCCTAGAATCCTACACCATGAGACAAGGGAAGGTGTGGGCGGTCATTTGTCACCCCGGAAAGCCTTTAATTATTATAGATTTAAACAGGTGTGATAGTTGACCGTCCCACACCTGCCACGAAAATTAGACTTGTTAATTCGATCCGCCGCTGACCTCAGAGTGTTTTGTAAGAAGGCTAACAAGCGTAAACTTTTGTCTGCCTGAAGTATACAGTGTGAACCATAAACCAAATGCAACAGCAACTGCCGACATATGCAAATACACATGGCATGAACATGAAAAGAAGTCGAAATCATGCTCTTCAAGCCTCACCTCAGAAGTAGGAGCCAACGACGTTCTGAGGAACCTTGTGAAGTACTTTAAGCTCTAGAGGGATACTTTTGTTGGCTTTAAGGTTTGGGACTACTTCTTGTTGTACCATGCATATTCAACAATGTCTCTAGCTACGTTCCTACCTATCTGTCTTCAACGGCCCCGCCACACCCGCCAGGCCGCACCCGGTGTTCGCGGCGAAGAGAAAAGGATGATCCACCGGGTCCCCGGCAGGCAAAGGCAAAGCGAGACCCGGTGGTGGACAAAGACGCTCAGTGTGCGCTCTTGTCAGAGGACGGCCTCGCAGCTGGAAGAGAAGAGATGCAAAGTGAATGACTCAATGACCTTCGAATAGGCGCACACATGTGAAGGCCCTGTATAATGGTACATGTATACTTGGGGCATCTAATTATCCTGGAAACACCCTGGAAACTGTGTCCTTTTTGTGGGTTGGGGAGTCGGAGTTCTATTCTGCCAAACCTGGAAATAAAATAGACATGTAGGTTTGTTTGGCCTTGGCTCGATATTATACAAGAAACAGCGTCAATCTCCGTGGAAATCATCTCTGTCTACACAAGCTTCCAAAGGACTTGTTCTCATGTTCTCCTATCATGGGAATCAAAAAGGGATGCGATTCATCATAGTTGCTATGACATGCTATGACCATGTTTGTCATGCTGTCAGTTGTCTGAAAAATGCCAAAGGCTCCATGAACCCGAAAACCCCTCAGGGCAGTGTGAAATACACAAACTCTTTCAACACATCATCAATACCATTCAAAACCCTACCACATTCAGGTTTTCGTGGCACATCTTTGGTGCCGAAGCGACTCACCCGCCAACCACTTGGCACCTTCTGGGACTTGCGGCAAGGGTGCCGGCACCTCGGCGCACGTTTCCACGCTGACCGTGGAGCGTACCGTGGAGCTTGCCGTGCGCCGTGGATCTGCACAAAGCGTGTGCTATACCTGGAGGAACCCCCCCAAATAAACACCTCTATAGTTATATACGTGTAAGCAGTTAAACATTGTTAAAACATGTTAAACCTGCGTTTCACCAAAGTTGGCCTGTCTTTTGAGCGATGTTCAGAACACCCAACCAATAGGGCTCTGGCAACGACAGGCGTCCAGGCGGGCTGAAATCAAGATTAACACCCAACACTAGCAGCACTCATACACTCATAGGGAAAGGACACAACCAAAGGAAGCAGCAACAAACTCTCACGGCGAGTTTACCTGAAAAAAAAGATCACCCATCTCATCAACAAACTGAGTCATCAACAAGTCTGGCACTGTACGTAGCCTAGACGCACCTATATATATATGTCAAAGTTCCAACCGAGTGCCTGTATCAAGTGGATTATGGTCACACCTAGCCTCCCCTTGGAACACCTGATGTGCTCATCGGTTGTTTTCGCAATGTTTCGGGAGCATTTGACAATTGGGCAACCGGGCTCCAACGGATTTGATACAATGACCTGTTGTCAAGGGTCAACTAGCATCTGACACTCTTGTTGACGCAAACCATTACTGACCATGACTTGCTTTCATTTTGGCCAGTCTATGACCTTCTTGACCCTGCAAAATGTCCGTACGCACACATATAGTGAAAACTGTAATACAGTATATATATATATATACAAACACCTATTTGCGCCACCGCACGTCTTGGGCCCCCAGACCGTCTTGAAGCGTGTGCCCCTGCCAGGCACCGGCTTTTTTCTTGCTCATACGGTAAACGGACTGGGTAACTGATCATGTTGCTCCGCACCAGACCCACACCACCGCGTGCTTTAGTAGGCCACTGCCGTTCATGTGTCAGGGGTCGCGCTGGTGACGTGGAATGGCGCTGGTTTCAGGTCCCAATGGAGTCCTGCAAAGTCTTGTTGAAAAAAACAGGATGATTACAGTCGTAGGTCGTAGGTTCTGTTTCTCCAGCTTGTCCAGAACTTCTGCAAAGATTGTGGGCATTAGGTGTTTGTCCTATCTCACACTATCTCATACCTTCTGGGCTGGGATATCTGGGTTGAAACATCGTGAGTTTGTTCAAATCTCTCGACTATCTTGTCTGGAAGATTAAGTGATATTAAGTGGTGTGTTGTGGTGTTTCATTGGGGAGGTTGGTTCTAGAGATCTGTTTCTTTGGGGGGTGTCCCATCATTTTGACTCACAGTAACCATGCAATCAAGCCACCATGGTGGACAGCAGGGTAGAGACCACTGGTATGGACATCCCTTCTTTGAGTTTCATTGGTAGGCCTGATAGGCTATGTCCAGATGAGTTCCTATAGTGGATGTATCTCTTTGTAGGCGTCATGTCATTTAGTATAGTAGCTATGGATTCGACTGTCATTAGAGGAAAACCGTTTTCCAAGAGGGTATATCCCCGCCTCCGTGCCACCGTCATGAGTTCCTGCGGGTCATGAGTGAAGGCACTCTCCTAGATCAGATCCTCAATGCCCAGGGAGCCCTGACAATTCCGGGTTTATCAGTACATATCACTACAAACTGCTATGTTTGGATTGTTCCTTTGGGTTTCTGTGAAGTCTTGGTTCATCTGGCTTTCCACTCTGTTGTGCTTCGCAAAGTCAAGAAATGCGGTGCCCACGTAGTGGAAGAATCAACTCCTTCCATCCATTAGATATGCCAGTGGTGTGTATTTTAAGAGGGTTGAGGGGTCGAAACATGGAAACCACTGAAACCACCAAAAGCGATCTCCTACCATCTCTATCAGAAGTGGCTGGCAAAGTGACACAAATGCTGTGAGATGTGTAACTCACACTGGGCATTAAAAAAAGAACACAAAACATCACGAAACACTGACAGTCAGCTTAGTGGGTTATACGACATCTAAAGCTAGAGTAGAATGGTTTCAACTACCACGCACGGCATCGAAGTCTGTCCCCAAAATGTTCGGAATATAGGCCACCACCTGGACCTATAACCATCCTGGAGTGAATAGAATATGGATATAGTTTATATTCCAACGTCAGGAAACTGGTCATGTTATTGGCTTGGTTCATGTTCGATCTACTCCAGGATGATTGCAAACACATCGGAGAACATCCATCCCCGTTCAAGGGGGAGAGGTTGGGGCGAACAGTTTGTAATGGGACCAGGTTTGGGGTCTACAAAAAGCTCTGACCCAAGCTGCTTTGCCATCTACAACATGGCATGTGCCAGAGTGGGGTTGCACAAAATGATGATGCCTCAAGATTACTATCTTATGCTTACAAGTGCATAGCCAGCCATACTGCAAAGTGATTTCTCTACAAACATCGTGTTCTGTAGGTGCCAAAAACTGCCTCATTACACAATGGCCCCTCTGCAAGGGCCTCAAGCTCTCCCTTTATGTAGAGGAAATTTCAACAGGATGAACATCACCAACTCTTCTGTCTCTCGTTGCCGCCTCCTCGTCCTCATCTGCCTGGGCTCTGTTGGTCTTCACTGGTGCACAAAAGTTTCCTTCACACGGACAATTGGTAAATATTGGGAAAATTCATGATGATGTACTATGCTTCAGTCCCATTTGGAAGAACATCAGATTTGGGAGAGTCCTTGCATGATTGTTGTAAAACCAGCGATGGAGCTTTAAGCGGGTCCAACATTCCAAACAGTCTTTAGGCTGCAAAAGAACCACTGGCATCCACTGGCTAAAACCTCTGCAGCATGAAAACTCAACAGCAGTTCATTGACAAAACATACAGAGTGTGTCAAACTTGGGACCTAAGCGAGGGGTTCATGTACAGTATCCGCCGTGTCGTTGTATTAAAAACTGTCCAACCCAAGATTTTTTTTCCCATTGATACTCACAAGGGACATTCTCAACTCTTGTTTTGCACTTGAGATCAACAGAAAAGGAACACCAAAGACTCCCTCCCGTGGTTATCTTGTTATGAATTAATTATTGTGTTGTTTGATACACCAAACACTGTTAGTTAGTACACCATCCACATGTGTTTGCCTTTTTGCGTCTTGACCCGCGATTGGCTTTACCACGCACTTGTCCGCGTTGTCCCCCGGTCCTCCCCGTCCAGCGCCTCGTCACAGCCGGCGATTTGCTGCAGCTGCTTCACCTCCAAAAGCATATCAGAGAGATCCTCCGCAGGATGTGGAAAGATCCGCACGGGAGAAGAGAGGATTTCAGTGGAGGGTCGCTCCCCAAGCGAAGACAAGGGGCTTGGACACCACTGTGGATGTCTTCTGTTGCCAGGTTTAACAGACTCTAAGTCTCTAAGTCTAAGTTGATTTGGTACAGTTGCCTAGACTTTAATTGGGTGTTGGATGGTGCTGGGTGTCCCATAACACAGAACTGCTGACCTGCGCTGCACATTGACAGTACCAACGTTTTGATGGACAATAACTCCGCTGATAGCTCGACCATGCTGTACCTGCGAACTAAACGACCCCAGAGCGCGGAGCGCACGGTTTCCCCACGGGCCGGGTCTCTCCATCTCGGGGCACCATGCATCAATAATGATCAACACTCAGCGTTCACAGGGATTCAGCCATTGACTCACATGGGGTTCTACAATGTCCTCCATTCTAAGATGTAAACAAAGAACTGCGGAGCACTGGGGGGAGTATTGAGCATTATTGTATAATCGTGTAGGTTTATCTTTGGCTTCCAAATGTTCAACGTGAAAACCAGTGTAAAACCAATGTGAGTCCTTGGAGATTTGGCCTCTGGATCGCTCCAGCTTCTGGACCTCGGAAGGGCCGAGGCCGAGGCCTCAAAGAAGACCCCGGTTTGAGGGATTGATGGTACCGACAAAATGGGAAAACTCTAAAAATCTCTATATAAAAGTTAAATCGACATGTTCATACTTTGTCAATTTGTTTCATACATTTTTGGGCTCTTTCGCAGCGCAACGACACTTGAATGCCAAGCAGCCCTCTCTCGACCCTTGACCTTGTTGACTCTCCCCTCTGTTTCGGAGACAACCCTCTCACGACTGTTGCTGGCAGAGCTCTTGTGAGCAGCTGGAGAATCTAAGTGGCTCGGACATCTTGACTCGAGACAAAGTTGCGTCTCACAAGTAAAATTCCTCCAACAAACAAATGTGAGACGATCCCCTTGAAGTGTTGGTTTTGGGAGGGCCTCTCTGATTTTCAAACAGACCTGTAAACAGGATGAACCAAAAAAATCAACAAAAAGAACCGCTGAGGAGCTAGCCCGAGTGCTGACGCCTCAGGGAGTCACGTCGTGTGAACGGGAACAAGGGGAAGTAGTCGTGCTGTCGTCCCTTTGAGATCTGGCGGCCGGTATATTTTGGAAAATTCGGCAGTTGGCAAACTGTGGAAAAAAGGACGGCAGCAACCCATGGCATCCACTGTTGTTCAAAACTTGAGGCCAGGGGGGGTGAAAGCTGGCCCGGCTAGCCACTGCGAAGCAAGAGCGACTCCAACTAGCTGAGGCTCGTATTCGTGATCACCTGGCAGCAGCAGCAGCAGACCACCAAGCAGCTGCAGCAGACCACCAAGCAGCAGCAGCAGCAAACCACCAAGCAGCTGCAGCAGACCACCAAGCAGCAGCAGCAGCAGACCACCAAGCAGCTGCACCAGACCACCAACCAGCAGCAGCCACCAAGCAGCAGCAGCAGCAGCAGCAGACCACCAACCAGCAGCAGCCACCAAGCAGCAGCAGCAGCAGCAGCAGCAGCAGACCACCAAGCAGCAGCAGCAGCAGCAGACCACCAAGCAGCAGCAGCAGCAGCCCACACGCTCACCCGCGCGCAGGGTGGAGTTGAACCTGAGGGGGAGTCCATAAGATTGAACCCCATCATGTAACTTGCTATCGCAAGAGCAACTCCAGCTAGCTGAGGCTAGCTTTCGTGAAATGTTGATTCAGCAATCCCATCAGGTCAAGATGTCGCGCGCCTTGCACCAGCAGTTCGAGTTGTGGCGCCTGCCGTGAGTTGTGGTCCAGATGACCGATCCAGCGCAGTGAAGTGCCACACTTCAGAAAGGGTTTGCCAGTGGTGGTGGAAAGGGGTGTTTCAGGGGTTCCAACCGGAAGCTCTCACGACATGTATTTTGGACCCTTGCAAACCAGTGCGCGGGATGGATCGGGATGGATCTGGTGGAGGCGCAGGCAATCACATCGAATCGCACAAGTTGCCATGAAAGACTAAGCTGGTGAAAACGACCTTCCAGTCACGGACTCGGAACCTGGAATTTGACTGGCCTCTAGGGTGAACGTGGTAAGCCATGTCGTCATACCAAATTCATTCTTTACACGGGGTAGTTTCACGGCTTAATCTACAAGGTGACTATACATGTAACCCCCCTATCTGGATGTGGTCTTTGATTACTAAAAGGCCAACAATGCATGGGTTTCTGCAGCTTCGTACTTTTTTGCGTTCGCAGATGCTTGGCATTTTTTCGTCTCAACTCATCAGCTTCCTTGGTTCCGAAAGCAATCGAAAGCAGGAAGTGCCCCGTGCCTGGCTTAGTGTGCCTCCTTTAAAGACTCCTGAGACCTATCTCAAATGTGTTTGCCTTCTCAGAAGGTATGTGGATCTCTCATTATTAAAAAAAAATGACTATGTATAGCTTTTGGCAGTCGGTTCATTCAGTGGTTGTTGTGAGATCCTAAACTGTGAATGAATTTGTGGATGTCATCCGTGAGGGGGACCCTTGAGTTCATCTCATGCGTCTGTAGGTATTTGGGAAGACGAAACATGAATCCCTATTCCAAAAGTAGCAATCAAGGTCTCTACCATGATTCAACATCTGTGGAACCCCCTCTAAACCTACTGTAATTATCTGTCAATAACCGTCCACCCACAAAAACGACAGGCATGCACAACAAATCGCCGAGTCCCAGTCAAGATCCCTAATCATCCTTCCTTGGAGTTCTGGGTCTAGGAGCATTTATAGGTCTTGGTCCACAATTATCTTGGGCGCAAAAGGCGCAGGTTCAAAGAAGATGGGACAAAACGCCGATCATGTAAGATTTGTTAGATCATGGAAAATTTTACGCGTATTGTCCGAAAATAAGCTCTGTACACATTGTGCCATGCCGTGCTAGCGAGGTTGTGGACTCACACACAGCAACAAGGGAGGAGAAAGAGCTTTCACATGGACCCTCATGAAATCTCCTGAAGCTCTCCTTGGTGTGCAGGTCCGCGCGCCAGTGTGACCTGGCACGTAGGTCTGGATAGTGTGCAGGCCCCTGCGTGCCCAGACTGACAATTTAGTGGTGTGCAGGCCCGCGTGGCCCAGACTGCCCTGGCGTTCTCGATGGTGTGCAGGCCCGTGCGTGCCCAGCCAAACCTGGCGCTCTCTATGGTGCCGCGCGTGCCCAAGCTGAGCTGGAGCTCTCCATACCGTGTGCAGGTCAGTGTGTATAGGTCCGTGTGTGACCAGACTGAGCTGGCGCTCTCTATGGTGTGCTGGCACTCGCCGTGACATGACGACATGGCAGGAGGAGGACAAAGGACGGAGTACAAAGGATGGCTGAGTACAAAGGACGGAGGCCGGAGTAACATCTTCGTTCAAATCTAAAGACCCTCACCTGGCAGGTGGGGGAACACGAGAGAGCGGGAGGGACGCATGACTTGATACCAAGTTCGACCATGTCCTGCGACCAAGTGTCGATGATGATGCTGCTGCCAGAAAGATCCACCTTCCGCGGACGGCCCAGCACTGGAGGAACATCCCTAGTGACTCTAGAGCCAAATCACTCACAGGCGCTCCATTGATTGGCGCCCCTAAGCAACAAACATCTTCCAAACAAGAAGCTATACAGGCTATACCTACGTTGACCCCTTTTCAATCACCGACAGTTCGAGGTTTCTGTATGCCAGTCCCATAGTCGTGTCTGGGAATTTGTTGGGTTCTGGGACAAGCCCCAACACCCACAGCAGGTCAAGATCTGTTCATTACATCGCCGTCCCCCTTACCTTTCATGGTGAGGAGTCTTTCTAGCAACCTTGTGGATACAAAAACATACAAAATGGCGGATCCCACTTCATAGAGGTAGAGGTGAGGATAATTTGTTCTAATATATATATATATATACTTTCAATACTGGGTGAGTTGTGGGTACTCACAGTACCTCCAAGACAATCCAAAGAAATTCACCGAATGGAAACTCCATCCTCCATCATCAGAATAGAAAACGGCTGTACGCGCGGTAACATCTCATTGCGGGCATTGATACTTGCAGACGGTTTTAGACATTTTTGAACCTAAACAACTCAATTCTCTGCATGGCAAAGGCCAAAGCACGTCTTTGCAAGCCCCGAACTCCAAACCCTCGGGATGGGGGGGGTCACTCACATACTACATGGAGTTTTTCTTTTTTTTGGTGTGTCTTTCTCCTGTTCTGTTTTGAGTTTTTGGAGTATCTCAGCTGTTTCTCCATCGCCTGGCGGATCAGGTGGATGGCCGCACAGGGCGCCTGGTGCAGCGCGTTGTCCGGGAGCAGCTCGAAGTCCTGAGGATCGACTACTTGGGTCTGGAGGATCGACGACCTATTGGGTCTGTCCAGGGCAGACCCAAGGACTGTAACACTCATGTAAACCAGAACATCACGATGAACAAGGCCTGCAACCTAACATTCATCGTCTGAGGCGCAGGTATTAGGACCCAAGGCATGACTACGAGTAGCTAGAGGAAGCTAATATATAATGTTTGGTTGTCTTTGCTTCTAAGGAAGCAGTGAAGCCACAAGATCTATGCTGACTATGTTTGTCCTAGATGCTACAAGTGGATACAAATGGGACAAACCAACACCAAGTGCAGTGAGGAAACTGGTCCTCCTCGGGCAGCACACAGTCAAGGTCCCAGGCACATGGGCCACTGCCGCCCAGCAGCTGCGCGCAAAGCTGCCGGGGGCCGACCTACCGAGCTCCCGTTCTGCGCGGCGGGACGATGAGGTGTTTGTTGTTCCTTGTAGAAGATCCGATGGGCTCCCATGGTCCTCTGTCGGTCAGGTGGCTGATCCGATGGACGATGATCCGATGGTCCATCAGAATTTCTGGTAGGGCTCCCACGCCCGAACCTTCCTCAGCCACTGAAAAAGAGCCATGACTCCTCGGGCTTCTTGAAACTGGCGAGTGGACTGAGCAAATCGGTGTTCTGAAGCCGAAAGTGGGGGAGGATGGGGAGGGCAGGTTTTGCTAATGGACCAACCTCAAACTCTTCATGTGGGTTCCCCACACAATGTAGACTCTCGATTCAAGCCCCGCTGAGTGTCAATAAGAAATTGTTCAATCCAAATTAAATGGGGGTGGGCTGTTATCCTCAGAAACCCAAGATCTTGTGGACATCGATGGACATCTCCAAGTTGGAGTTCCTCATTTTAGCAAGCGTCGGACCGCCCAAACGGGCCTCAATCTCCTCTGGTGCGGGGTCCAGGATCACTGCAGGCTCACCTCCCGGTAACGGACTGAACGAACGTGTTTTTTGTCGATTTCGGATTCAGGCGATCCACCGACCAACGTTCTTCTATTGGTGGATTGAAAGGTAGATGGTTGTAAATCAACTCGTCTGATCAGGTGGAATAGACTGAAGATCTGCACCACAGCCAAAGCTTGGTAGGTCAATTGCTGGTTGGTGCCAAGTTGTCCACTTACTGTTCAGCTTGAATGAGGTTGAGGGATCCAAATCCTCTAGGACTCTAGAACATAAGCCTGATTCTCAAGGCAGTACACCAAAACTGAGCGCTTCCCGATTCAGCTGCGCCTGAAAAATAAGGGTCACTGAAGACCCGCTTTTGTAGGAAGTCGATATGTACAAGGCCTGCACAGGGGGAGGTGCCAAAAGCTTGAAACACTTAGACATTGGCTAAATATGAACTGTCTCCACAAAGTCACACACATAACTCCGACAACTCCGACTCATAAACTGTCTCCACAAAGTCACACACATAACTCCGACAACTCCGACTCATAAACATGTAAGGGGAAAACCACGGTTTGCAAGGGATAAATCATCTTCCAAGGAACCATTGCCCGTTTCCATGTTAGTAAGTCAAAGTGTACACATCCCAGGGCAGGTTGGTGGTAAGTACCACTCTGCCAGAGATCAGTTCCACCATGTTCCACCACATGAGATCCACTGAATTTCCTGGAAGGTGTGGATGACAGGATCATGCACCATCAAAAACAAATTCAACGTGAAGATGGCGCCACTAGTCACAGCTCATCCCCGTCCCCGTCGCCCAAATTGGCGCCCTTTAATGACCCGGAGGGCACATGGTCACATCTCATCACAGCTCAGGACACGAAGCGGTACATCATAGCTCCCGAGACGCACTGCACCTACTTGACTGACTGACAAACCTTAATTTGGAAACCACCTCCTGGGTGTTCTATGGATGTTTTCTTTAGGGGCACTTGTTGCTAAATGGACCAAATGGGTTCAGCCCCCCTCTACACCAACAGGAAAGCTTGGGAAACTAGAAGCATACACAAGCCAAGGCACTGCCATTTCCTCTCTTTGGAAGAAGCCAGCGAGCAAAGTCAGGATGAAATGCTACCAGGCGGCACCTAAGACGAACCAGTCTTGCAAACATCACACTTGGATGAACATGAGATGGAACATCAAGAAACAACCACCAAAAAGGGTGGCAGCCTTTTGTCTCCTCATAGGCTAGTTTTGCCATTGTTTTGTTTGAGCAACCAAGATGTGTTCTTCCTACCCAACAGGGGTGTATTCCAAAAGCGGCGCATCAGCTTGTTCTTCAATGAATTGCTGAATCCAAAAAAACACCCCAGTCAGAAGATCTTCGATCTGCCCCATCCTGCCCCAGTTGAACTGCTTCTTCTCTCCTCCAACCCAACCACACCACGACATTGCAAGAGCTGCACACCAGGCACCGATCAAATCCAGGCGCCGACCTCTCCACGTGCGCGACCTCGCCCGCACCGCCGACCGGAGGTAGGCGACGCCCGTGGCGCGTGCCGCAGGGCCAACGGCCGCGGTCCAATGCCTAGGATGGTTGGGTTCGCCCAACGGAGAGGTTCCTGAAGAGATATGATGAGGTGTATTTGTATACATATGCCTTGTATGTATATAAATAACATATTGTATATATATATATTCATTATATTATAGTTATACACGCACATACACATATATAGTGTCTTGTATACAATATATATAAATGTAGTTGGTTATATATCTATATTATATACACACGATTACACAATATTACACACGCATATTTGTTCTGTCGTGTACAGTATAAGATAAGATTAGTGTAAGACCCGACCCTCAAAATGGGGACACGCATGGACACGCCAAGTTGTTCGGAACTTTCACTCAAAGAGTGATAATGGACTGAAGAGCCTCGAAGGGGGTATATATCTACAAGGAGGTGATGCTACTGTGAGAGACTGAGATCAGGAATTTCGATCCGGGCTCCTTGATAGGCTGCATTTTTGAAATGGATCCACCCTGATCCACCGTCTGTTCAGCGTTTGGTCCAATAGAAGGATAGATGGGTTGTCCAGTATTGAACTCGAAAACGAACGGTTCGCCGAAGTCCCCATGGATCTCTGGAGCAAAGAAACGAACGTCTCGCGCCCGCTGAAGCATCTACAACGAAAACGACAAAGGTATCATGATGTATCATGAGATGCTAATCCAAGTCCTGTGGCGTGGATAGAAACACACCAACTCGCTAGTCCAAGCATTCCTGATCCTGTTGAGGTCGTGTCGATCTGTCGATCAGCGCAGTTGATCATGTATCCAATGAATCAACTAGCCAAACCCTTCAAAAGAGGTTAGGTGACCGTATAGGACCCTAGAACCTAGTGAAAGACCAGATTGAAGGGTGTTTGAAACCCTTTTGCATGGGAGAAGTTGACTTCCAGTTTCCTGTTGAATTACGGTGTGTGAAGCGGCTGGATATTGTAGACTGCAGCCAATCGGTATCAGTACTGGTAGAATTGAGGTGGTTTCTGAATGTTCGACACACTCCCGTGTACTTGCATTAGTCCTGTAGACTCTGAACCCGAGATGCGGGTTCTACCGTGCATCGCCATGCAAGCATTAAGTATTTGCAACAATTATTTGATGATCTGGAGTGCGACCCCAAACACCTTCACATAGGCATCGAAGACATCAAAGTCCTTCCAGGCTTCCTGGGCCGACAGGCGGTGGGTCCTTCTGTGCGCATTTGATGTCCACACCAGACGCCAAACACCGGAAGCATTGTTGCCATAACTGTATATCCTCAAAAAAACATCGCTGTCACATGAATCATCTACTCATGATCCTAATGAAATGGAACAACGGGCATCTTTTCAAAAGGGGTGCTCAAGCAAACCACAAGGCTATAACATATGGCAACATTGCCTTGTTCACTCATGGGCAGCACCAAGAACCGACCCATCATCTTGTCATGTGTTCGGAAGACCGACCCTGCTGGCGCTCAGCGTCAACGCTCCCGAAGACCACCACGCTGGAGCTCAGCGGCAACTTGGAACGTGACAGGTGCTCCACCTGGAAAAACAGAACACCTGGACCTGAGCAGTCTACAACCCTCAGAAGAATAGTGTGGGTATGTGTGGAATAGATTTATATAGAAATGGCTATCTGTCTCTGCAGTTCAATTAGTAGGAGTCTATAAATATGTATAATGGCCTGGTTCCCCACCAAAGCACACACATATTCACATAATATATATATATATTCCCTGGAATAGTCATGGAAGTAGATGGCATGGCCCCTTGGATTACCTGTTTTTCTCTACAAAGAGGTGGTTTTCCCCTTCTCTACAGCTACAACTTGTTGGACCCAGAGAGCGGTCTCTCCCAGCCTCCTTCTCCAGCTCCTCCTTGGCTTCCCAAGTACTCTCAGCTGTACTGTCCACCTGGGGCAAGAGTCCAAGTGAGCCAAGGTTAACATCAGCGGGGTGTCCTCAAAATCCAGGTGTATTTACTGCCTTTCACTTAAAAGGGTTGTTCTTAAAGGTAAGAGGTTGTGCATATATATATATATGTGTTTATAGGAAATACTCAAAACTGACCAGCTTGGGTAACAGTACAAGCTCTAAAGAATCTTGAGAAAACAAATTGGGAATTCACGCATGTTCACGGGCACCCCACGGACCCACCGGAGCGGGAAGTGGGGTTCGATCCAGCTCCCTCCGAGTGGTCACCCTCTGTTCAACCGGTCCATGTGACAAAGCGTAGCCGCTCGGAGGCCATGGATTGCGCAGCCCAAGGGCAGAAGTTCTTCTTGATGATGAAGTCCTCGATCATTCGCCGAGTGGTTGGCGGATTTGGGCTGATTTGGGTTCAGAACGGGTCAAACCAAAGCAACGGAGCACGAATGAGCATTGTGCACTGCGTGGAAATCGAGCTTGAGGAATGATGACACGAATGCGCGGAGATGAACTGAAGTATGCTAAGATATGGCCTGAGCTGAGTGGGGTGTTTGCTGACGTGAGCCGACACAACAACCCAAAAGCAAAATACCCAGACGCTCCATGTATGCCAAATATGCCTACATTGCGGTGGTTTCAGGCATATATGGCATACATGGAGTCCACATGGAGTGTCTGGGATAGGAATGTGCGACACCCCGACAGTCAGCAACTACTCAAGTGTGTGCCTTCAGCATCGCGACAGAAGGCTGCGAGACGAACACATAGACAGAAGGCTCACTACAATCCATAGGGCTCCAGGTACATTGTGAGAAGGTGTTTGCGGTTGGTTTAGAGGGTCCAAATCCCTTCTGAGAAGGTACTTGGAGCCCTAGGGAATAGCAAATAGCAATGTCCGCGGTGGACATGCACCGAAATCGACTTGATTCGTTGTTCCGCATCGAATGCCCGTATTTGGTAAGATGCTGCCATAGACTCATGCCACAAGCCATGCATCATGGAAATTTCCCCAGGCGGTCCTGAACCCAACCTGGGCAAAAACTGGGTAGCGTTCAGTGTGCTTGTGAATGCAAGCAGCATGCTATGCTATACCATGTTCACCGCTTTCCGTGTCCACATTTGAATACATTGGACATGGCCCTAGTTGCCTATGCTGTGCATACCTAAAGAAAAGAAAACACAACAACTCATCACTGTTCCCAATTTTCAGCATCTAATGTGACCCAAATTCTGATCCATCAAAAACCCAAAACAGCAGAAACTCAAAACAGCCCAGGCCCTGCCTCGGACTTGCTCTCCAGGCCCTGCGCTCCGGGCAGCTCCAGTCGCCGCCTGGGCAGACCCGCACCGTTTCGTGCGGCGAGCGTGCTTGATTCCTCACCGAGGACGGAGGGAGATGAAATGAAAGAGTCTTCCGAAAGGAGCATCATGGAGACTCTTCCTGAAAACCTCTTCCTATTGGATGTTTTTCTAATCAATCAAGAGTCTACAATGATGGAGTCAGTAGAGTTTCACTGAGTCAGTACTGTAAAGACCCAGATCTGAAGGACCTATCAGTGACCTGGGTCACTCAGCTTGCGAACTGCGAACTGCATGTACTGCTCTGCCAACTGCTAGCTGCTCTATCCGAACGAACTCCTTTGTTTCCACTTTACCCCTGACACTCAAGATGCCAAAGCGACCTGCGTGGGTGAGTCAATGAATCCTTTCGCTTTACAGTAAATCCGCTGTTCTCTTCCTGCTACCCCGATACGCCAAGATCCTTCGTGCCAATAGATCATCACAGATCTATGGGTTAGGTTATGTAGGTTGTAACTGCAAGTGTGCTCTCCTCTCAGCGGCTGCACTCCGTGAAGCGTTGTCCGAAAGAAAACACAACCAAGCGGAGTCCGATGCCGGTCAGGTGACGAAGCATGCGGTGTGGAAGACCATCCAAGGCCTTAGAGCATGCGGCACTGAGAGCACTAAATGCTGTCTTAATGGTAGGTAAGGATGTAAGGACCCTAGTGACCCCAGCACCTATTTTCTTCATGTCATGTTATAAGGATGTAAGGATGTAAGGATGTAAGGATGTAAGGATGGTAGGTAGGTAGGTAGGTAGGTAGGTAGGTAGGTAGGTAGGTATGTTCTTCATGGCACAATGCCAAGCACCAACATTTCAGCGTGGTTTGTAGACCCCCCAGCCATCCTTTGGGCATTGCTGTTACGAACGTGCACCTTAAGCGTAGAGAGACGTATTCATCCAAACGAGGTCACCAAACAGAGTGCAAAAGGATTCTGCTACCAGAAGCACTGATGAAAACCCAGGTTTGTCTTCGATGTGGTACAATCCCGCAAGAGGTCGTGCTTTCACGTCCCTCCCCTCACAGTGGCGATTCTTGGGTACTCTGAAACCACTGAAGCATCCTTGCTCCGTTCGTAGCGATGCCAGGATGCCAGGAGCCCCGTTCGTAGCTTCTTGTTCCTAGTAGTACGGCCAGGAGCCCCGTTCGTTTCATCGTTGCTCCGTTTGTAGCACCGCTGCTCTTGAGCGGCGGACAGGCCAACACGTCCAAGACCGGCAGCCCGTTCGATGCCCGGTCCCGTGGGTCATGGCACCGCACCCGGGTGGTGTAGACCGAAAATGAACCGATGTGTCCTCCTTGATATACTGTAAGGGATGTCAACTGAACCCATGGTCTGGTTGAAGAGGTTGTGCCTCACAGCCATATGTCGAAGATATGTCGAATCTTCCCCAGACACTCCATGGGACTGGCATATTTGCCGATCAGGCCAGGGGTGGTTGACCAGGGGTCAATGTATGCAGATATTCCAGTCCCATGGAGTGTCTGGCTTCTATTGCTATTGCTACGTTCGTACCCACCGTGACCCCACGACATTGGACGGGGTTCCAGGTGACGGAGGCCGGAAGTCCTGATGAGTTGACAACACATTATTGCCATGATCCTTGCAAGTCTATACCCTACTTCCACTTGGGGTATCATTCAATCTGGCAGGACAAACATATGTTGAAAGTGGAATTGTATAAACTCCTTAGACCAATACCTGTGACAGAATGATACCACAAAGTAACAAAGGTTAAAGGAAACTCCAGGAGAAGAAACCACTTATCATTGTCATTGTCTTACCTTTGTGGTCTTCTACCTTGAAAAAACACTACTTATATAGGACACTATGGTAGTTCGCCCTATCTGTTTTCTAGGCAATTTACTATCCTTACTACTATTAGTAACAAGAAGCTACTAGTAGCTCCTGGCATTCCTACTAGGATGGAGGCCATGGCTCTTAGGTTGGAGGCCATTGCTAGTAGGCTGGAGGCCGTCGGTCTTAGGATGAAGGCCATTGCTATTAGTAGCTAGAAGCTACTGCAATCGTCACCTGCCAACATACAACTTCCACTGACCCTGAGCTCACGACCAGAAGACCAAATTGAAGCAGCGGAAGCGCTCGGAGAGCACGAAACGTGCTAAGCCCCATGGTGGAGCGGTTCTCATGGAGCTCGCACAAGCCACAAAGATAAACATCATGGATGGAGGAGGCATAAAATTGGCATATCCTGGTGAGAAAGGACACAGTTTTACTGGACTTTCAAAAACATGTAGAGAAACAAACATATCATATGAATATGAACCATGCAAACTCAATCAATAAGCTCCATGCTATTCCGCCACTGGAACCCCGTGAGCAACTTTGTCTTCCATTGTCTTCCTTCCAATAGAGAGCATTGGTCCGGTTTATCTTGTCGATATGTTTCTCTCTACCGGTCAGGCCAAGCCGTGATTGGGGGTGGTTCTATTCCAAGACCCCCAACCGAATGCAAGCAACTGGGAGACTCAGGATTGAGCCAAAAAATCACCGAAACAAAACTATGCATCCATGGCCATTTGCTCTAAGCACTTGATGGAACAGGTACAAGTTGAATAAGAGTTGTGCTCTCACGCCAAGTGAGCAGCGACCACGCCTTCCACAACCTCATGTACTGTAGAAGCTTGCTCAGCTAGCTGGTTGGTTCTGTTGCATTGGCTCTTGATAGATCCTACTCAGTTGATGCCGATCCTGGATCAGTTTGAAGTGGTCGGCCACCGGGACCAAACAATGCGGGGGGCAAAACGAAGTGCGCCATGTCAAAAGGACTGAACAAACTAGGAGGATGGTTAGGTACTGTCAAAAGCATTCAAACGCCTACAACAAAATGTCCTACATAAATTAAATGAATCCACTAAGTGTCAAGTGGGTTGTTGCATTGTCACACCTATGACCTATTTTCCTCCTTCTCATATTATTCTACAGGCTGCTTGGCCAGGCCAGTGGCCAAAACAGCAGACACACATGTGTGAAGGCGCACAAACATTTGCACAACACATGGCCACAAACGAAGACCGTGGCCCAACGGTGGAAATTCGTCCGAATGAGTCCCACGAGCATGGTCCATGAGTGGATGGAAGTGGATGGCATGGTCCCCTGGAAACCGACTTTCGGAAGACCAAAGGTCAGGAGTTGTTCTTCCAGGCTCTTTTGGCGGGGGTTCTGGCTGGAAAAAGCTCATGACTGAGAATGAGGTAACCATCAACCGTTGTCATGAAGGTGTCCTCTATGCAAGCAGTTCGGTCTGACCTTTACTGGCCGGCTGCAAGCTGCTTGACAATCATGATGGGCCAAGAATTCTCGAGTGACTTTGGGGCAAGGGGCGAAAGTAAAAGCAAGGTGCAAGGAGGCGCCTATGGAAGATTACCACACAATTCACTTTCACGCCCCCCCAACCAAACCATTCTACTCTCAAGTTAAAGCGTAGCAAAGAGCGGGGGTTGTCCACGCTTGTGACGGAGCACACCACTGGCCTGGTGGCATGCTTGCGCCGCCAGGTCCGCATTGGCTGGCGTTGCAGGCTCGAGGATGAAACAACAAGCTGGCAGTGGAAGGGGTTACATAGCAAAAACCCTTTCGAGGGTGCAAACTGTGTGGAATGGTAGTGCTTTCACCACATGAGAACCCCTTTCAAGAAAATGACGAACCAAACTTATAACTTATAAGTATCGAACTTCCCAGGATTTCCAGCTAGATGGACCCCGGGGGGGAAGGGTCTAGTGTTAGTGAGGTTAAAAACAACACTATAATTATACATATTTGCGTTTTTAACTGGAGCTGGTATGGAGGTAGTATTGAACACATCCACCTTTACAAAAGCTCCCATAAATCCCAGCCGTGTTGACAACTTGAATCGAACACATTGCACCTCGACAAAAAACAGAGACAACTATATAACTATTAACATCTATTAACTATTATTATAGTTAAATACGTGCACAAAAACATCTAAAAATGCTACACACCAGTCACACCAGCCACAAAAACAAACCAAACCAAATCCCGCCAGTCTTACGGAGCGCTGCGGGATTGAATGGCATTGCTCCGAAGGGCCCCGGCCTTGGAGCGTTCCGAGTCACGCGCGTGACGCGAGCGCGTCCCCACTGGTTTCGGTGGACACAGCGAAGTCCTGGCACCAGCGAAAGGTACCGTATGGTTGAACAAAGTCATTGACTGGCCCTTTTTGACAACGAACACACCATCAAAATTCATATATTATTCCCCAACATGTTGGATGGCTTTGGAAAGTCCGTACCTACCTTCCCACCCGGAAATCCCCATGGCTGCAAAGAGCAGCCTTCAAGGGTTCCGACTGTTTCATCGCGGAAGAACACGGTTTTGAGAAGACACTAAATATGCTGGGATGGTTGACCAGCGTAAACGCTGATCGTCCTATGTAGAACCTTCAAAATGCTTGTTGCCCCAAAGGGAGTGACTCTCCAAAGATGTTTGAACCATTTTATACCCTTGCTTTGACTGGTTTGGTGAACTCGGGGTTTCACCCCTCCAATTCCAGAGATTCCTACAACCTCCGCCACAACCTCCGGACTCTGGAGAGCTAGCTGGGCCATGAGGTGACATGGTCAAGTTCTGCTGGCTGACCAGGCTTGTGGGATAGTCCAGTCGAGGTTTTCCACAAGTGCTGACACAAGGGCAGCTTGCCCAAGAAACCACCAGGCCGAAGGCCCAAACAAAGAATTAACAAAGCTCCACCCGCTTTGTCTCACCATTTGTCTCTTCTCTCAGTGCTCCGGCAGGAGTGGAGGCATTGGCGCAGCCAGGCCCTGCCCGAGCAAGTGGTGGGTGATGGCATGTGATCGATGCAGCTGTGGGGGTGTTGGACATTATCCATCACACAATACATTCCCTGAAATCATCGTGCGAGCTGGAAACCACCACCTGTTTGGGTTTTTGGATTTCACGTTCATCCTTCCACTTGAATACTTGAATGGACTATTTTGAGTAAAAGGGAACCTCCACAAACTCCCCTTCTACTTTGATGTCTGGGCTGTTTAGGTATATATACATATATATATATATCTTCTCAAAGGCCCTGTCTAGCAAGCTCCAGTCTACCTTCATGCACCACCTCCTGCACTGGTTTTCATCCCCACAGCTTCAGCTCATTCGAGCAAACAGCTGTTCCAGGTGGCTGAGACTTGCGTCACTCAACGCAACCCGGATCCACAGTTACCTTCCCAGAAACAAAAAGCAACATTGAACGTCAGTCCTGTTACACTAGAGCTCCAAATACCTCCTCAGAAGGTATTTGGACCCTCCAAACCCACCCCAAACACCTTCTTAGAAGGTACGACTGGAGCCCTAGGGTTAGTTGGTTTCTGATCGAATCGAAACCCTATCGCTGGCGCCACGGGTCTCGCCGCGAGCGCGGCACCTGTTGGCCATCGAGCCAAGGAGGTGCCTCCAGCCACCGACGCGCCGGTGCCACGAGTTTGTCGTGTTTGACCATGGTATTGGAGCCCGTTTCATCCCCTTCAGGCTTGAGGTCAGAGTTGTAAATCCATGCTTCAGATGCTTCCCCCCAAAACGAATCCCTGGTCCCTGGTCATCAAGTAATGGTGCACCAAAAACGCTCACAGGTAGAGGACTTTTCACTTCAAATGACGCATGGCCGTGCCAGGTCGCTTGGACCGAACATGGGCCGAAGCGAGATCGGACATGGGCCGAAGCGAGAAATACGCTCGCGGACCGAGGCCCGATCTCCATCGGACCTCGCGGACCTCGCCTGGAAAGGCCACATCTTGCATTAGCACTTAGTTTGGTCAGGCCCTGGTAACGATCAAAAGAACACCTGGTAAAGGCCCTGGGACTTTTCCTGCAAGTGCTCTGTGGAGAATGGTTTCTGGTGCTTCCGAAGATGTGGGTGAATAGAGCTTGTAGTGCCACATCAGTGTTGTAAATGGTTGCTGGATCGTTCAATCTCGGGTTTGCTCGTGACTTGCGCTGTAGCCCCCAGGATGCAAATCATGCTGCAGTATCTCTTCCTCTATCTGTCCATGTAATTGTCTGACAGTTTTGTGCAATGGCAGTAGCATGCATCGAAAAAGTCTTGAACACTCCAAATATGGAAGGTTCACCAAAAGCCTCAAAAGCTGCATTGGCACCGTGCAAACTTCAAAGAACCCTGTTTTTGCGAGTCCCGGCCGCCGACGAAGGTTCCTCGAAACAACAACGACTTGGCAGGCTTCAAAACTCTGGATATGTAAGACTGTAAGAATATATATATATAATAAATAGATATAAATAGTATATATGTAGAAGAAAACAAAATTGCAACAATATGCAACAATTATCAATAACTAATGAGGGTGCTTTGTATGTGCAGTCCCCAACCAACAATCAATCCACACCCACAACTACATGGCTCGGTCTTGGTGTGGATCCCGCGACCATCCTGCTAGCCAACTCACTGGGCACACTATTTCCACCTCGACGAATCTCAGAATCCGCCCGCTCCTTTGGAGTCGGGAGATAGCCGGATCGACGGAAAGAGGATGGCTTGCATGTGAATACGCTAGCGTATTGTTTTAAATTGTGTGTTGAGATTTCAGTTAGTTGTTGTGTGTTGCAAACTTTTGTTGCGTTGTCCTTTTTGCGTATAGGGTGAAGAAAGTGCGACGTTCGTAGCTTCTGGTTAACAGACTTCCCGACACCTGAAGACACCGGCAGCTTCCAGACACCTGAAGACCTCCCGTGCATCGCCGCCACTCACCGAGTTCTGGCGGAAGACCATGCCTTCCTGGTCGGGCGGCTTGAGCAGCTCAACGTGCGAATTGATGGGATGAGCCGCTCAATTCATCTGTTTGGATGACAACTCTTATTCATGCAGCAAGTGTTTGTTCCTTGGTTGATGGCCTTGGATGGCCGTGGTTTGGCTCGTGTTCATGCACTTTGACTATAGTTTACCAACTGGTGGTGGGCAATTGGTTTGTGTCCACGTCTTCTCCAAACCTTGCAGATCAGCCGAACATCACCAGATCAGTCCAACAAGGGTGCTCTAGGGGGTGCTCATGGTCCGTTCCCATTGAGTTCTCTTTCATGTCATGATGCCGATTTTCTACACTCCGACTACCAGGGACTTGACGTGTGACCAGTCACTTCATGGTCACTTCATCTTGACCCAACAAGCGCCACATAAAAGCAAATTGACTGCCCTCCATATCCTCCATATCCAGGAATGTTCAGGGCCATGCCAAGTCATGGAAAGCTTTCTTGGAACCTTGGATCTGCCAAAAGCGCCAGTCAGTCTTATATAGGCTAGCTCAATGAAACTGCTGGAGCTACAATCGCAAATACTCGCTGGAGCACCAGTCAGTCTAGATGCTCCTTTCAAGTAATGGACTCTCTACGTCGCTGAACAAACCACACCGAAGCGCCGCTTCGCGGCGGCCAGCGGTGAACGCCACCGGCGGTGAACGCCAGCGGTGCTCGGCCTGAAGAGTGTGAGCATCCAAAGCCCTTAGTGTGAAGAGGTGAAGATGAAGTGGGCCATGAGCCATGAAGGTGGCGGAGTCACAGCAAAAGAGGCGCTCGAGCATTTCGGACAAAGCCATGGGCAAGATGAAAGTCCCAAGAACAAAAAAGGAGACCTGCTGGTCGTGCGAAAGATCTTCATGACACAGTCCTGTGGTGATGAGTCCTCCTTCTTGCAGCCACCATCTAGCTCCCACTGTCTGCAAATTATGTGTTGGGAGTTCCTCAATCTTCAGACACCTCTTCTGCTTTGGTAGATAGTAGTGGTTTTTAAGACTAAGTAGTCAAAATACATTGAAATACATTCCAAAAGAACCTGCGTCCCAGGTTATCCTACTTCTTCACTTTTCCTTTGCGATGGGGTGTCTCCCTTGCTCACTCTCTGAGTTTTCCACCTCTGCAGATGTGGGCCTCGCGCCAGGAGCCGCACGAGAAAGTCTTGGAGCTGTGGACCATTTTCCGATCATATCCCCAAGGCCTTCAGATAAGACATGACACACCCAATAAAAAATGAACACATGAGTGAATCAAACCCGAAAACAGTAGATTATGTATTTCTGATGCGGACAAACGTAGTTGAGCGACCATCTTCTATGGACTACCCGGTCTTCTTGCAATGCCTGTGTCGAGCCACCGCTGGTCTCCAAGGAAGAGGACGCACGTGGTGGCAGGGCACCCACCAGAGTGCTGCCGACATTTTCGAAGTCCTTCCTGCAGCGGAGAGAAGGAGCTCAGCCGCAGGTTCCTCTGGAGAAGTGATTTACTACTGAAAATGATAGTTTTGGGTCACCACCCATCAGAATCATGGGTCACCACTGTCACCCGAACCCATCTTAGCTCAGAATGTGAACGTCCCCGTCCCAAGAACGGGGTCATCATACGATGGGCGATGACTTGCTTGACACCCAGCAAAAAATATAACACATACTTTAGTCGCACTGGCTCGAAACGAAACCGGTTGGTAACTACACCAACCGGTTTCGTTCCACATATGGTCAATGGTTCCACATATAAGTAACATGGTGTGAATGGGACTGCTGGAACTTGCTTTAAACGCTTTTAAAGCGTCCCAGTTTCTTCGCTTCGTCAGGCTTCAACAACCTCGCGGTTTCCGGTGTCCGTCAAAAGTCGGCCACTCGTGGAGGTCCAGGGGTCAACGCGTTGGTCCAGCTGGTGACTTTTCTTCCCAGATGTGTTTTTGGGGTAGGGCCGGGTAGGGCCTGTCTGCTTTCACTGGCTGAAGGGTGAGTTCCTCGTGAAGCAACCTGGTCAACAAACCTAGACACCCCAATTTGATTGACTCATGTGGGTCTACTGGAGGTATTCCAAAAGATCTAAACGCAAATCGCAGTTACACAGTTGTTGGCGGATTAGATGAGGCATGCAGTTGCTGGCCTTGCTGGCAACATGTTGCTTTTTGTTGGCCGTGCAATGTCGTGCATGTTTAGGAGATAATCGTATTTGATTAAACACTTTGACTTGAGAAGCTCAAGTCGACGTGACCTGAACACAAGACCTGAACACTCCCTGCATGAAATATCATATACCCCTTAACAATCAACCCCATATAAATAATATAACATAGTAACATACATATACCAGTCAGTCCATGTCTGGTGTCTGGGATCAATTGCTTGGTCAACATGGCCGACACCCCGACTTCGGTCTCCGGGAGTGCCGGAGTCTGTGTTCCCCGTGGTGGCTGTGGAGTTCACAGACGTCTGTTTCTTCCCGAACTCAACAGCAAAAATGGTGATGCAGACGATGTAAGATGCTTTATGATGCTGTCTTTACCCCTCCTTCAAGAGAACACCAAGTCTTTAGGATGGTTCAAACATGTCCAAGTCCTTTGACCCTCAAGTGTCAAAACCGAGTGCAACGGAGATCACCTCTCCTGGAGATCCAAGTGTCCAGTTGCAATCCGAGGCTATCACCTGGGTCGGACAGAGAAACACCCACAAGCCTCTGCATAACCAGATTTGGACAAGAATATCTCTGGTCATCGGTAGCTCAGTTAGTGACCAAGTTGGTGGTCCAAAAGCACTTACGAAGTCAACCAGCCTCTATCCAGAACTTAGTCGATGATTCAACTGAAAGCCCTACTTTCTTTGTTCACCACCAGATCTTCTCTATCTTGGGGTGATGAAGATTGAGTCTTCGAACCACGAGTCATGGAAATTGATCAAGATTTAGCCGTGTTAATGTGAACCAAACCCAAAGGACCAACAAGTGTGTGGAGTTTGTACCACAAGCAAACCCCTGCCCCCATACATCCAAGTGTGGACCAGTTCGATCCTGTTTTGAATGCTACAACACATGCCTCAGAAAAAAAACAAAAAAACTATGATGGATGCTGTCATATGCATGCTGGAGAAGGGATCCAGAACACTGACATCGCATGCATGTGGCCAACTCCCTTGGTACTTGCCTGGGTGACAGGTCAGGTCAGGAAGCCCCACGCGGAAACCGCTACTAGCTACTGTGGTCATATTGCTGTACCCAAACACGACAGACTGGATTGGCCTATTTACTGATCAGTTAGGGTGGTTTTAAGAAGCAAAGTAAGTATATATATATATATGGTATTCCATGGAGTGTCTGAGGTAGTTCTTTGCTTGTTTTGGTTGGTTCTATCTCTATCTCTCAGAATGATGGGTCACCACTCCATTTTTGCCAACAACTCTTCACATGCTAACTTCATACAGATCTTGGGCTTCACCGTCATCTCGTCTGAGCAGTTCCATGATGTTCTATTCGGGCAAGTCATGCGACTTGAATAGATCTACATCTGATCCATCTCCCAGCGACTTGAATCGTGGGAACGATCATCTCCCAGCGGCGAAAAGGAGGACATCCAGAAAGGGTCCGGGCCTCTGAGGGTCTGTGATAGCTTCAAAGGCTGAGAGGTGCTTCGAACGATCCGATCTCGTGCCGCACCCCTTCACACCGCTTCAGATCGAGCTGAACAGACCGAGCTCGTCCCGCTTCGTCCGCTGAAGAGGCTTTCAAAAAGAAGAACCTCTTGAAATCTGTCTGAGCTTTCACTCCAGACGGCACTGTTCGTCCCGGTGTTAAAGTCCGCACCCTTCTCATCTTCCACTCTTCTGCGATCCTGCACGGGCTCAAGGTGAATCGATGTATCCATTGAACACTTGAGTCTATCCTGTCTGGTTCACTGGTTCCGGGTGAACTTCTGTCTCCTGAAAAACCAGCAGCATAGCACGCGAAACACCCAACATTCGTCAAAATCACCAGACTGGGTCCTAAACAGCAAAGAGTTCTGTGTTCTGGTGCTAAACACCGCATTGGTCAGGAACACCAGCACGGGTCCTTTCAGGAACGCTCAACACGCGTTCCACTCTCCTAGGTGTAGATGACATTGGGAGCATCAATCAACAATTCACTGTGTGTAGATCAATGCCCCCCAAAATGCCGATGTATGACACCATTGTAGATTACTGCATGTGTGTGGTTTTGTTTTTGTTTTATTACTATCATTCTTTACTAAGGGTGTTTTTTTGGTCTTTAAGGGTGTTTTGAATATGACCAATAGCTCTGGATCGCCCTGGAACCTCTTCATTCATTTCACAGCTGGCCAACCGCATCGACCGCCCTTTTCTGATGCTCAGCATGGGCCTCTGACTTCTCCAGTGACCAAAAATGCCAAACGATCGCAAACAATACTAGTGCCGCCTATGTGCATCAAAGTGTGCAAACAAATCCGGCATGCGACACTCAGGCCTCAAGCCCATGTTTCCTGAAGTTGCGGAATGCACGGTACAGCGTCTTGTGTTGTTTATTTGGGACCTTGACCTGGACCTCTGCTAACTTTCAGGGCAGTTTAGCATACATGTCAGCCCAGTTCCTTTTGTGCTTCGCAAATTGCATCCCTAGACAGCAACAATTGGCAATCCAATATATACTTCACTATGCTTCTTTGATACTTCCGTTCGCCCAAAACTCGAAAACCCGTCGCAAGTCTGTGCATCAACCGCCCTCCACCCTGCTGCCGAGCAACTAGCAAGTGAGTGTCGTCGCATCATAGCAACCCCAAGCCGCGACTCCGCAACTTGCAGCATCAGCCTGCGAAAGAAGCGACAGGGTTCGCAGCTTCCCCATAGAGGCAACACAAGCAGGAAAACCTGCACTCCAAGAAGATTCCTTCCAAAAACATCCGCCTTTTTCGAGGAAAGAGCGGCTCTTCCTGGCCTAATGTTTTTTTTGATGTAAAACGCACCTTCCTCAGACAAAGACTAGTCTATGGGCTTTGAGTGATTCTGTTGGGATTTGAATTGATGTGTCTAATTGGAACAGTCACCTCACTGACTGAGATATATAAATGGCAACACAGTGAGCTTCCAGCTTCCACCTCCATATTTGGCTCTACTGTCAGGCGACCCTCTGCTTGGTTTATCTTGTTGAATAAGCACACGACGGAGTAAAACCACTGTAAAGAACACTGGAGCAGAAATACCCGGCTAGAAACTTCCTGGCAAAAGTAAAAGGCAAAATGTCCGGAACCAGTGGTTCAAAATGTGTTGAAACATGTTCGTGAAATTCATGAGTCGAAGATGGTCAAATTCGCCTTGGTGGGGACCGTGTGTGAATTCTTAATTCAAAACTATGTCCTTGAAGAACGATACGCAGAATGCAATCATTATTATTAAAGAGCTTTTCGGCTGTAGTGATGGTTTTTGGAAGGCTATGTTCCAATTTCCTTGCCCCAACATTCCCTGCTGACCACGGATATTTCTACCCAGGTTTCCCTAAAAAAGCAAATCCTGCCTCGCAAATTGGACTGAGGCAGATCTTTTTCCCTGGGTGTTTCTAGGTAGTACTGCAAGATATTTAAGATAATTCAGCTTTGAGTGCATGCACATGCTCCATGAGTGCTTGTGACCTTCTCTTACAATCCTCACCATCACAACATAGGTGGACCCAAACAGCAAACATCTCAACGATATTAAATAATGCCAAAGAACTGCCAGAGACTGTAAGGTTGCATACACCCGCATGCTCCGTGAGCCCTTGTCAAGCGACACTCTCTCACACCAAATCCCACCTTCTTGACATATTTGCATCCATCCCTGGTGCCGCAGGTTTTCCAATGCACTGATGCACCACCACCTGGAAGCAAGCGGAAAAAACAAAACCCAGTCCAAATGGATTGCAAACATAAAGTCCTGTACAACATGGATGATCCGATGTTCTACAAAGCCCAACTCCCACCTGTTTGAAAGCACACACAGTCTTCCAAAAAGCGACCGTCCACTTCCATGAAATATTTTTCATCACCTATCCAACTGGGAGATCTAAATTAAAGCTTAGCACAGTAGAGGAATTCAACCTAGAATCTAGAATGTTGGCCCTAAGGGTGCATCACCAAGATAGGCCAGCAAGCAAGAACCCTGTAGGTGGAGTCTCTGGAGTTACATGGACAAATCTAAAATGACCATAGCGGTCAACAGTCTGTTGGGTTCACGCCACTCAAATGCATTGAAACTACAAAGCATCGCACCATGCTACAGAGTTTCAAGTTCTTGTCGTACACACAAATTACTTCTATAGTTGTTTGAGTCCAATCAACAAGAACCCATAACACTATTTTCACAGTGTCTGACCGGCTGACATATCTTCAGAGACGACAGTATTACAGTATTCGCAGCCAAGCAACACACAGCAGAAGGCTCAGCCTCAGCCACCTGCGACGTCCGAACCAGTTGTCAGCATGGAAACGCCTGGCTAACTGGGGTTATAGCTCAGGGAGTGGGCAGTGGGATCATATTTGCCTTCTATATTTCTTTGAGAACCTTCACGTGGGGGGGGGAAACGTCTAAATGAGTCTCGATTTGCAGTCCGTGTTGTCTTCATGATCGATAACGCAAACCGGATCCTGATGTTGGACCATTGATGCTTCTTATTTGCACTTCCTGCCTCCTCCTCTTCCTCAGGAGTCTCAGGAGTCTCAAGAGTCTCAGGCTCAGGTTCTTCAACATCTTCAACCTTTGGTATCTCAGGCTCCTCTACGGCAAATGCTTCAACAAGCACAGGACAACTTCTGATCTACATCATGCACTGATGTTTCAGCCTTTAGATAATCCACTAATTATTTAACCAAAACGAGAAGCATCTCTGATTGAAACACGTGCACAAATTTCTGCACTTGCCGATGTTAAACCGGAGGCAAAGAGCGAAAAAGTGGGTGAGAGGACCTAACTGGAGCCAAAACAATGGCTCGTGAACTGTATTTAGGGTGAAGGAACTAGACAATAGAAAAATGATTTGGTGACGGTCGGTGTGGTCAGAAGGTATGGCTTACCACCATTTCACATGGGTTTGTACAACAACCAATGGGGCAGGGCTTGTGTTTATTTCTCTCAGTTCTCCTTCATTTGGCTCCAGTTAGGTCCCCTCACCCACGTTTCGCTCTTTACCTCCCGTTTAACATCGACAATTACATCATAACTCTTCGAAAGACTCTCTTCTACCTACTACAACGACACCAAAATTGGACCAATTGGGTTCATGCTCCCTCTCCGTCTTCTGGGCCACATCTTCCACCTTCGCATCAACTAAAACCAAATCTGTGCAAACGTTTTCTGTTGATTGCAATTGTAGCAGAGCTGCTTCTGTTTCTTGGTGTGTTTGTTTTACAGAGAAAAACAACCAACTGTAATTGGCTGTCAAAGCGAAAAAACAATATAGTTGCAGTCCAGCTGCTGTTGGCAAGTCGTCCACCTCCTCCTCACCTGCCTCCTGGATCTCTTCAGATCCATCATTTGGGGTTGGTGGTTCTGTTTGGAGATGACCATGCGCGGCAATGTCGCCCAGGTGTCGAGCAGCAAGGCCCTGGTCCCACAGCGCAACCTGATTTGGACGCCCGAAATCGATCGAAAAGGCATCGAGTGTGCCCTGATACCCATGTTCTGCAAAGTTGCAGCATGGGTAAGCGGTGAGCGTTCTTTGGGCAACACATCCAATGACACTCATGGACAAAATAGAAGGCTGCAGCAAAACATCTGACTCGATTAACATGTTAGTTGTATTAACATGTTAGTTTCCTCTCTCTCAAGGGACTAAAAATTGCATAAATGGATTGGAAAAAACACGCTGAAGTCAAAACACCAATAGTTGCTGCGGAAAAAGGGACGCTTGACAACATCAACGCAGGCAAATTTCTTGAAGCAGAGTTCCGCAAGGTAAGTGGATGCACACAGTTTCTCCAGTAAATGTCAATCATCGCGCGCAAAGGAACCTCCTAGCTAAGTGTCAACTGAGGTTTGCGGTTTGCCATGTGCAAAGGCACGGTTAGAACCCGTCTTCCCAACAGCCGTTCGGACCGGGCCCAGTCTGAAGCACTGCGAGAAAAACAAAGAAAGTCAAAACGCTTTGCGCTCTCCGATGCAACTATCCGATGCAACTATCCTTGCAAAGGCAGTCACTAGACTCAGTGAGGGACTGTAAACCCCAAGCAAATTTTGGAGGCGATGAAGCTTGAAGTACTGCAGTGTTTTGCAATCCATTTGCACGCAAAAACTGTGTGATGTTGTTTTTGTTTTGACAATGCAAACTTGGCTAACATCTTTCCTACTTCATTCATCAACACTGAAGCTGAGCACCGGAATGCGAAGCACAAAGTAACAAACACGTTTCTTGGAGCGGGCACAAGGAGGAGCCACGCGCATGCATACACTGACGTCGGCGACAGGAAGTGGCTTTATGAACTAGAGTGTTCACCTGGTGCGTGCGCAAAGCAACCACTTGAGTGATCTCAAAAAAACAAGGTTGAATACATCACACAACGCACATCGGCACATGGCGCGCTCATCTGTGTTGTAGTTTCTTCGGCAAGAAACCTTTGTTGTTGGGTGCCATCAATGTTTAAAATACGCTTCCAGTAGTCTCAAACAAAACACACACACAAAAATAGCCATATGCCGTGCCATGACATGTCAACCCCACAACGCAACATAAGCCGGGATTGTCGCCGCTGCTTGCAATGTCGATTCTGCTCATAAGTCGGCATTGCCGATATGCAACCATTTTATTAAACTGACCGACACTTATTATCTAAATAGTGGGCTAAACCAGTTATTCTGAAGGAAAGTGAGATAGAACCTGTGAAATGATGGACCGGGTGGGAAAAATGAATTATGTCATCAGGAAAGAACCTATATGCCACACACACACATTTATGTTGTCTCATAAATGTTTGAGATTGGATGGTTTGAGGAGGTATTTGACAAGACACACATGACCTAGGAGTCTGCCACCAACATATCATGTGGCAACTAGGGACTAAGATAGGAAAGCGGTTGCTTAAATTCCATAGCGACAACCTAGTTACCTAGCGTTTCCAGTGGGAAAAACTAAAGGAGCGTGCCTGTCATGGAAGCTTTCATCAGTCATATTTTTTCCTTGGGCACGATAGTCCGTTCTTTGATTGAAATATAGATGTACTGGCAAAAAGTCCACACCTCCTATGTCATCCTACTGTGTCCTGCATTTGGCAACCTTGTCTACTGACACATGACTTAAACACTGTGGTCACTAGGTCACTAGCCCAGCAAATTCTATCTCATTAGCCCTCAGTATACGGTTCTATCTCTATAATCATTGCAGTATATATACAATAATGGTAATTATACAATGCGTTTGTGTCTCCGATTAAAGAGAAACTATGTTTGCCATGTAAAAAATAAACACATAACTATGACTATAAATATATATATATATATGTAATTATATGTAATTACACACATCTGCACGCAGAACACACGCGAGATCAAGTACGCCAAGACAGGAAGCATCAAACACTAGGACGTGCAAGGCCCTTATTTGCTTGGTACTCCAAACGTCGTTTCCGAACCCACAAGATGCAATTCCATTTGGGATGGCTGGCGCTCACCACCAATATTCAATCGAGCCGCCGTAGCAAAGATGAAAGCAACTTGGCTGATCATGACGAAAGGATTCACAAACGCTCGGACTGTTGAAACACGGATGTCGTCCCTCGCTGAGAGCCGAATAGCAGCAGTTGAATTTGATGTGCAGCCATTCATGCACGAGCCACTGTTGCCATACAGTAGGAGCAAGTGTCACTTATTGACTTGCCCAACGAATGTGTCTCTACATTCAGCACGGCCATTCGACTGGGTATGGCTTGGCTAAAACTAGAATCGACAAAGTTGCAACGATAAAAGAGTGATGAGTTGATACAGTAATGTTACGACAAATTTGAACCACGGCCCTAAATGTGGCCGGCTTTACTTCGAGCCCGGCATTTTGTTGAATCTCAAACTAGCTACCACACCCCTCACTCTACTTAGCCAGAATGCCCCTTCCTGTGGTTTACTTGAAAAATGACCAATAGCTCTGGATCGCCCTGGAACCTCTTCATTCATTTCAAAGCTGGTCAACGGCATCGACCGCCCTTTTCTGACGCTCAGCATGGGTCTCTGACTTCTTCAGTGACCAAAAATGCCAAATGATCACAAACAATACTAGTGCCGCCTACGTGCATCAAAGTGTGCACACAATTCCGGCATGCAACACTCATGCGTCAAGCCCATGCTTCCTGAAGTTGCGGAATGCACGGTACAACGTCTTGTGTTGTTCGTTTGGATCAGTCACCTCTTCTAACTTTGAGGGCAGTTCAGCATAAGGTGGCAAAGGCACCAAACATGACAGCCAGTTCCTTTTTGTGCCTCGCATATGGCATCCCTAGACAGGAACGATTCGCCATCCAATAATAACTATGTCAACATGCCCCAAAAACCAGAATCCTGTGGCAAGTCCGCACCATCGGTTGCCCTCCGCCCTCCTTCTACTGCCGAGCCACTAGCAAGTAAGTGTAGTCGCATCATAGCAACCCCAAGCCGCGACTCCGCAACTTGAAGCATCAGCCTGCGAAAGAAGCGACAGGGTTCATGGTTCATGGCCAGGGCAGCTTCCCTGGAGGCGAGCCAGGCAAGCAAGCTGGAAAACCAGCAAACATCTCAATGCTACTAAACATTGCAAGATATTGCAAGTTTGTATACACCCACATGCTCCAGGAGCCCTTGTGACTCTTGACACTGACTTGACTCTCTCACGCCACAATAAAGGTGGACATAAATCCCACCTTCTTGACATATTTGCATCCATCCCTGGTGCCGCAGGTTCTCCAGTGCACCGATTCACCGCCACCTGGAAGCGGTGGCGCTCCAGACCGGTGACCAGGTCCCAAAGAATTCACGCCATCTGGGAACACACAGCGCAAAATCCATGTTTTCGTTGCTTTTTTCCTCATCACCTATAGATCTAGAAAGCCAAACACCCAAGATGTGTGCCCACCTGAAGGTGTTGCAGGAATCGACAAGTCAGAACAAAAACAACTTCGGGGAAACGTTTAATTGAAACTACATGGAATTGCGGTGTGTAGCAGTTTTGAAGTTTGTGGTGCATGCACATCTATAATTATGTTTGAGTCTCACTTCAACAAATAGGACATTGATACCTTCAGAGAATCCCAGTGCAACAGGTATGTTTACAGGTGCTGACATGATAGTGACTGAGAAGTTCAATGGACAAAAACAGCGACTCCTTTTCAGGAGCCTCGCTGGGTGGAAAGGGAAGCCTTTCGAGCTTGGAAACACAAAGTGCCACTGGCAACTGCTTCGCAGCCAAGCAACACACAGAAGGCTCAGCCACCTGCGACATCCGAACCAGTCCAGGTTAGCAGGGTGGAAAACCCTGGCTAACTGGGGCTTTAGCTGGGGAAATGAGATCATACTCGCCTTGGAACCTTCACGTAAGGGGAAATGTCCAGATGAGTCTCGATTTGCCGTCCGTGTTATCTTCATGATGCAAAACTGCGAAGCCATCCGTATTCTGAAGGTGGACCATTCGCGCTGCCTCCTCCTCCTCTTCCTCTTCTTCAAAGTTGGGTGTCTCAGGAGTCTCAGGTTCAGGTTCAATCTTTGGTGTGTCAGGCTCCTTCACGGCAAATGCTTCAGCAAGCACAGGAGACCTTCTGATGGAGACAACTTCTGCTTCTGATCTACATCGTACACCGATGGCGAGCCTCACGACGGCTTCGACGACATTTAGGACCTTGTCTTTCAATATGTGTATTTATACTATCACACACAACTTACACAACCAGAACCTTCAAATATCATCGAAATTGATGGATGCTATGAAGTTACATCCTCATCACACTTCGAAGAGAACAACTCCATCCTACGGTCCCACACCAATGACTCCAAGCTCCTTCTCCATCTTCGCGACCTCATCTTCCACCTTGGGTTCCATACATGGTAGAGCTGTTTCTGCTGCTTGGTGTCTTCGGCTTGTAGCAACAACATGTAGCAACCTGTAAACAAACACGACTGCGGACTGCGCAAATCATTGCAGTCCAGCCACTGTTCCTGGCAAGTCTGTCTCCTCTTCATCCTCTTCCTCAATCTCTTCAGACCCCTCGTCACTTGGAACGTCGGTCGCTTCTTCATCAGATGTAATTGGCTTCGGTGGCGTAGGTGGCGCCAAGCTCACTGTAATGCACGCGCCAACACCATACATCTTCAGAGCTCCACACTCCTCAATGGACATCGAAACTGATCAACCACGAAGTATCAAGCGAGGTTGGCCTATAGATGAGAGAAGTGGGAGAACACCGAGCGAAAGTTATTGATAATTACAAACAATTGCATGCTAAGCATTCTTACCGCCTCCGAAGCTTCCGCGATGATCCTCTTGCCAGGTTGCGGAGGGGTGGCTCTTTGGAGCTTCGTTGCTCTTCTGCACGCCCTTGTAGCACTCGTACATCCAGTCGCACTTGTAACCGCTGGGCACGGCCTGCAAATCTACATAATTTCGGAAATGCTGCCTTCAAAGGCAATGCGGCAGTGTCAGTGGATTTAAAGAGTTCCACTATCACATCTGCAAGATCCGGGAATTTTGTTGACAATTGTCAATTGTCCACCCAAATGCAGAATCAGGATCCACAGTTTCGGCAGCACACTCAAGGACAAGCGGCTCAAAACCAAGGACATCCGCCGTAAACATGATGCGAAAGTGTCATCTGGCTTTGGATTTGCCAGACAACACCTTCAACGAGCATAAGATTCTGAAACCTCCAAATTGGGGACCTTTTAATTGAATGGTTTCATTTGTAGGTCACTAGTCTTCAATATTGAAGTGCACCCTGGCGGTTACAAACAATGTGTTGTTTTTGTTGCTAAGTCGAAAACTGATCAGGTGTGAATTGGAATAGGCTCTCTCATACCCCGGTCAGTCATTGCAAATAGATCTGGCATATTGGAGCTCTTGGTTCAAACAAGTGTATAGGGGAAACTCCATCACATTGTCATACCACTTTGGGGTTGAAACAACAGGCCATGTCCTTGTGTTTATGTGCCTTGTAGTGCTTGCAATCATGCTTGTTCTGGCCCTCGCAGGCTGCTGTTGCTTCTGCCGATGGTTGGAGGTTTCCATGAAGGGCAATGTCGCCCAGCTGTCGAGCAGCAAAGCCCTGATCAATGCACAGTACCACCTCAGGATAGTGAAGTGATCCCTGGACAATTTTTAGTTAGTGTCTTTCCAAGGGTTTCCCATGCAATTGCACTTCGTGTCAACCCCCCAAAGAACGAAGATGCACGTGATACCCATGATGAGAGAAGATTGCGTGACATGAAGAACTAGATGTAGATAAGGCGGAGGATGTCGATACAATTCTTGGGTGAAATAGGCAAAAATGGACTGACATTCCCGAAGAACGAACACAAAAATCCGAAACACAATAACACCAAAAAAAATAGAACACAACAAAGGCAACGTGAACACATGCAATGCAATAAGATGTTGCCAAGGAGGAACATCAGAAATGAAAGGTGCCGACTTTCATGCAATGTGTGACAAATTGGTGCTTTGATAAAAAGTGCACACTAGCAAGGTTCTCAGCCTGCTAGCAAAAACAAGGTCACGTTGCCCGCAACGACCCCGCGCAAAACACACCCGTTTGTCCAAGACGCTTTGGTAACCCTTACAGCATTTCGGTTGTCAGGGAGTTTAAAGCGCATCTACAAAGTCCAGCGTTTTACAAAAGAGTGTGATTGTAAGATGAGCGATCGGCAAGACCTGAATTGGTTTTTGCACAGGTTAGCTTAAGTTATCGTGCTTGGGAGGGAACTCACTAAATCGTTTTCCATTAAACCCTGAAAGCATCCATGTCAATCACCTGCCAAATGGGTACGGCCACACCTACTCCTATAAAATCTCTACCTCAGCTTCTTCATGGTAGCTGAGCACCTACACGCAAAAAGCGGTTGACCCTCTCAGTCGCAAAAATGATTTATCTCAAAATCTCTTTACATCTGGGCCATCCATCACAAGAGCACATTTCTGTGCAAACATAGTTATCGTTTAGTTTTCGATTTGGTTATCGCTCAAAGCGTAGATACATCTTGGGAAAATATTGTGGGCATTTACATGTTCGCAAGCAGGCCGGAAACATTGCAAGAATGAATATCCTCTATAAATACGTTACGAAAACCATTACACGGAAAACTTGAGAGATGGGGGGGCGCAGTGTTCGTATGGGAAACCTGTCAATGTTCGCATGCTACACTGTCTGTTCCACAATTTCATGCACAATTATGCTGTCAGGAAGCGCAGTACTTGTTTGCTATTACATCACATTACATGCGTTCATTTCAAGGTTATCATCTTTGGGAGTTCATATATTTTACAGGTCAAAACGCACGTTTTCAGTCAATTTGTTCTCCAATACTACTCTGTTCGATGGAGAGTTTAGACTGTTGCTGAGATGAAAAGGGGTTCACCATGGTTCACAATTGCAAAGGCAGTCACTAGACTCGGTGAGGGCCTGTAAACCGCAAGCAAATGTTAAAGGCGATGAAGTTTGACGTAGTGCAGTGTTTTGCAATCCATTTGCGAACAAAAATGTGTGACTTTCTTTGAGCAGGCACAAGGAGAAGCCACGGACATACATACACTTACATCATGTGTCCCGGTCGGCGACAGGAAGTCGCTTTATGAACTAGAATATACTAGAATGTTCACCTGGTGCGTGCGCAAAGCAACCGCTTGAGTGATCTCAAAACAAATTAAGGTTGAATACATTCACACAACGCACATCGGCACATGGCGCGCTCATCTGTGTTGTAGTTTCTTCGGCAAGATACCTTTGTTGTTGGGCGCCATCAATGTTTTAAATCCGCTTTCACTAGTCTCAAACAAAAAACATATGACGTGCCAATCCGTGCCATGTCAAACACACAAGGCAACACAAGCCGGGATTGTCGCCGCTGCTCGCAATGTCGATTCTGCTCATAAGTCTAGGCAACCATTTAATCTGACTGACACGCAAAATACTGGTCTAAACGAGTTACTTTTCTATCAGTTTATGTAAATATTGGCATTAATTACTAGTAATTATACAAGTTGTTTGTGTCTCCGATTAAGATACACTATGTTTGCCATGTGTATATATGGGATCTGGTCAAAATGTCTTCCAAAAATGGCTGAAAGTCGTGTTCACATGGGGGCCCGCTACATATCCTTTACTTTTGGCATACACAGCTGGTTAATGAAGGAAACATGGACCAAACAAGTATTGGCGCCAAGTTGTAAGAGGCGTCACTAGCGCTGCAGCGTTTTCAGCTGATCTCCGAGCTTCAAGCCGTGCTTGAAACAAAAGACATGTTGCAACTCAGCCTTGGAAGGGTCCACGCTGGAATCTGGCAATGTTTGCTAGCGCGGATCTAGCGCAGTCCTAGCGCGCGCCTAGCGCATTTTTCCGCCAGCCACTTTTCAAAAACCTGACGACGTTCTGAACATGCCCTAAGGCAAATACTAGCGTCACTAGCACAAGTCTACCGCAAACCTAGCGCCCAGCACCAGAATAGGTGTGTTTAGCTGGGGGCCCGCTACATAATCTAATTGAAAAAAACAACATCATAAGCTACTTTCGACCCCTTTATCTATTTTTTTTGATTATAGACTTTTGGCCGGAGTCCATATATATAAATATAGAGCATAAAACATAAGACTATTATACAAGTAGTTCCCGGGCAAGCCGGCGGCGGAAGTTTCATATAAAAACAAGTTGACCTATAGGAGTGTCCACGTTCTCTCCAACATGCGCGTCCTCCAGTCAAACGCACGCGCTCCGGACTTGTGCCCCCTGCAGGATCAGCAGCTCACAACAGTGTACTGGGTTGTATCTTTGCCACGACAAGAGGGCTGTATGACGAGTGGTGTATGATGAGTGGTGTATTGACCAGCAGTTGAATGTCCTGTCCTGCATAAATGCAACCAAATACTATCAGTATGAACTGCGCCAAACCTGCACGCCGCGAGAGATGACTCAGCAGCGAGAGATGACTCAGCCGCGAGAGATGGCTATAGCGAGAGCTGACTCAGCAGCGAGAGATAAATGAGCAGCGAGAGATGACTCAGTCGCGAGAGATGACTCACAGCAGCGAGAGCTGACTCAGCAGCGAGAGATGACTCCTCCGCGTACTACACTTGTACTACAAAGTGGCCAGTTCTCAGCTTCCAGCTCCACAGGTTGTTCCGCGTGCTAAAGTTGTACTAGAAAGTCGCCAGTCAGTTCTCATCTTCCAGCTCCCCAGATGCTCCGCGTACTGCAGTTGTACTACACAGTCGCCAGTTCTCAGCTTCTAGCTGCACAGATTGCTCCGCGTACTAAAGTTGTACTACAAAGTCGCCAGTTCTCAGCTTCCAGCTCTACAGATTGCTCCGCGTAC